GTCTACATTGTATGGGTGACAGGGTCTTCTCCTGTTATGCCCTCAAGCTCTGGAACTCTCTCCCAAAGGATATCAGAGAGTCACCTTCTCTAAACTCCTTCAAATCCAGACTCAAAACCCTCTTCTTCAGAAAAGCCTTTACTTAACTGGTTCCATTCTTCACCCCTCTGCTTTTCTTAGTACCACCATCCACGGTCTCATCTGTATCTTGTAATTGTGTTTTATCTTGTGTATTATTTTTATTTATTGTTGTTGTCATTCTATAAAGCGCTTTGAGAAGCCACTTTTAAAGGCGCTATATAAAATAAAGTTTATTATTATTATAAATATAAAACACCTTTAAAACAAATATTGTAAACAAATTAGTATTGCGCTATAACGTGTAATATAATGGCATGTTATCTCACAAGTACACATCTGGCTCACTGCCCATCCCTACGACTTGCGACTTGCTTCAAGAAAATCAAACCAGTTTTATTTTACTGTAGTGAGTCACAGAGAATTGTAGGGGCTGTTAAGAGTGCTATGACTGAGTTGCTGGGGGTGTCGCACTACACAACTGATGGTAACGGGCGCGCACTGCGACTCTACAACTCGCTGTGATTTTCTTCTGATTATGTAAATAAAGGTTACGACTGAAAATCCTAGGAAAAGTCATGTAGTGTGACGCCGGCATTAAATAGGGTGTGAACAGGTAGGGGCAAGTCTGGCTAAGGTGAGGGAGAAAAGTCAAGGGGGTGTTCAATGTTGGGGGGGGATACTATAATACTTTATCATTTTAAACTAGAGTTTTATAAACTTGCGGCAGAAAAAGTTTTGGGGTTAAAAATATTGGCCTATGTATTAAGGGGTAGCGTTGGACTAGTTTTGTTTTAACGTTAAAGTATGGACAAGGTATAGAGTTATAACTGGACTAAAAATGTTAATAGGGAATAATGATAATAAGGGAAACATTAGCACTTTTGTCTGAATTAGGGTTATAGTTTAATTTTTACCACTTGGTTAAAGAAGTAGGAAATTCTATTGGTCTATATTGAGGTATGGAGGTTAACATTAGCATTAATAATAATCATTCCTTATTTTTCTTAGGGCTTTAGTTTAACATTTCTTCTGAAGGACAGCATTCCTACAGTGCTGTGTTCCCAGAGGTAGGGAGGGTTGCAGCTCAGGGTTACTGTTAGCATTCCATGACAATGGATTTGAC